AAAAAAAATCTTATTTTCGGGATATGGGTTGTGCACGAAATTGTTAGAAACCCAGAAATTAGATTGAATAGAAAGAACACTTTTATTAACATCATTGTCCTGTCAACTTTAAATGTTTTTAGTGATGCTGTATTGCTTGTTCTTTCTTATATATCTATATATTTTAATTTTGTGTCGATGTTAATAGGTTGTAGAAAACATTGCTCGGAAATATGGTGTTAGTAAAAGTGATTTAATGGATCGTGAAGCTGATGATCTTGCTGTACGTATTGCTCTGGGAGAAACTCAAGTAATTTCAGAAACAAAAAGTGCATTTAAAAAAGCTGGAGTGAATGTGGAGTCTTTGGAAGAACTTGCGAAGGGTAAAGTTGAAGGCCTTAAAAGAAGTAACCATGTACTTTTAGCAAAAAACTTGCCCTATGGTTCTACGGAAAGTGAACTTGCGAAGATGTTTGGGAAATTTGGTAGCTTGGATAAAATAATTCTCCCCTCGACAAAAACATTGGCCCTGGTATTTTTTCCTCTCGAGTTCTTTCGATTGTATATTTTTATTTCAGAATATGTGGTTGTCGAACAGTCTCGTGTCCTAATATCTAAAGAAAAACAAATAACAGTCGTGTGCAAGAAGTTTTCCCTTTTTCATTTTAAATACCGTATTAGCTCACCATTATTGTTTTATTTATAGTTTTTTAGTACAATACCTAATAGTAACAATACATATAGCAGTGAGGCATTTTTGAAGTTATTGCTTTTGTTGTTACCTGTTAATTGTTCAATGAACAGGTAACACTAAACTCTTGTTGTTCAAGCTTTGAATTATTTGGAGATGATATTTCAGGTTGTCTTCCTTGAACCAGCAGAAGCTAAATCTGCTTTTAAAGGGTTAGCTTACAAGCGTTACAAGTAAGATTTTTTGTTTCTTTTGGTCAAGTCCCATGCAACATGTTAATTCTTAAGTACTCCCTCCGTCCCATATTATTTGTCACAATTGAGCATTTCACACTGAGCATTTCACACAGATTAAGAAACAGTAATAAATGATAGAGAGAGAATATCGACTTTACCAAATTATCCTGATTAATTATTGGTGTATTCAAATTAGCATTAATGTTAAGTAAGAAAACAATACATTAAGAGTATTTATTAGAGGGTACAATTGGAAGATTAAATATAAAATTGCATCGGTAATATAAAGTGACAAGTATTTTGAGACAAATTTTTTTCCTAAATGGAACACTTATTTTGGGACGGAGAGAGTAATATTTTATACTTTATTAGCTTCTATCAATAGACTATCAGGCATTTATGTTATCCTCACTGAACAAATTTATTGTTTCTTCGCCTGTTGAATATGTGTTGTACTTCATAAGAAGGAGAAATTGTGATCCTTGCAATAATTATCACGCTGGTCTGAATTGAACAAAGATTGATGTGCTCTGGTTCTCCTCGGTTATTTGAATAAGAAAATGATAAATTGGAAAAAATAGTTTTGTCAAAAATCTGTCAAACACACAAGGGGTGGTGCATGGAACATAGTGATGCGAACCCAGCATGATAAAATGCAGAAATGATGAAATTAACAGGCAATAATGAGAGAAACAATTTGTTATTTATGTAATTCAAAGGTTACTATAGAAGCACGATTCTACTGTCCGCAGAGCTAAGCTTATTTAGAGAACCAATGCTCTCTGCCTAATAAACTCAATGATTCCACTCGACACCATTCTCTCTCCCCTCAGAATTCTTATAACAGAATTCTCATACACATTTCACTTCCCGTTTCACCCCTTTACTCAACCACGTGGATATTCCCGTTTTGTCCTTTTCTATTTCTCTTAACACAATCTCTCTAGAATATGGGCTTAGGCAACTGATGTGGTAATTGTCCGTTTGAGCCCCCACCTTCTCATGTGGGATCCTATCATATAAAGTCTAGAATAATCCAGAGTGAAGCCCGTAACTTCATCGTTTTAATTCTATTTCTGTAGTAGTTGAACCAAAGCCTGTAATTCGTTAGTTGGGAAGGATTAACACTTTGAGAATGCTTTACAACCAAATTTCATTCCTCCTCCTCACTTTAGATGATAGAATAATCTCAGGCAAAGCAGCCAGCCCCCCTCCTCTCTGCTCAGTATAGGAATCCTATACTTTTAGTCATTGAAGGTTATTGACTTGCTATGCGTTCTATTTAATGCAGGGATGCTCCCTTATACTTGGAGTGGGCTCCTTCCGACATTCTTCTCCCAGAATCAACATCTGAAAATAATGATGTGAATAGTGGAATTGGTGAAATGGATGTCAAGCGATTGATACTAGAGAAAGACGTGGAAAGAATATCAGATATGGATATTGATCCAGACAGAATAGAGGTTGACCTACTAAATTGTTTTTTCCCCTTTCATTCCTTTGCTCTTGTTTTGTGTGGTATAGTTTGTTTTGATGCTTTAGTCTTTTGTCAGAGTTGATGGAAAATAGAAAAAGAGAAATATACAAGGTCAACAGATAAAAATAAAATAGAAATGCATAGACCAAGTTTTACATGCGATGCAAGGGACAATAAAACTGATACATATGATATATTAATTTTACATTTTAGGTTGAATTGCTTTATTGATCACTGAGCTCCATATTTTTATATGGATCCCAAAACTAAAGTTGTTTTAGATCGGATCTCCGAATTTGTCAATAATTTATAGTAAAATATTTCTTCTGAAAGATTTTGTTGGGTTCCTAAATTTTTAAATAATTTTTGACTAGGTCTCATGTTTAGGTATTTAGTTACAAGTTATTTAAAAGTTCAAGAATGTAAGCAGGCATTTTTAAAAGTTTAGGGACTCATTTGTTTTTAGTTTCAAGGATATCATTACAAAATATTGACAAGTTCAAGGACCCAATTGTACTTTTTAAGCTTAGGGGCCTATTTAAAAATGCTCAAATAGTTCAAGGACCTCTGGAGTTATTTAATTACTTTTTGTTACGTGTCATAGTCCTTTTTGTCACTACTACATTTTCATCCTCTACAAATTCGTAATTCAGTCTATACTTATTTTGAAACTGCGTAAATTAACTATTGCTAAATAATCCATAATTGTTGCTCTTCTATCATTTGATTAATCTATCATGTTTCAGGCTCGGTCTATATTTGTCAAGAACCTAAATTTCAAGACAACAGATGAGAGTTTGAAGCAACATTTCAGTGAACACATGAAAGAGGGGCGGATTTTGAGTGTCAAGGTAAATGGGCTCAAGTGTTATGCAACACATTTTACTTTTACGACTTGCTGTTTTTCAATTTTTTGTTTGTTTGTTTCTACTTTCATAAATAGGTGAAGAAGCATTTGAAAAATGGGAAAAATGTTTCTATGGGGTTTGGATTTATTGAATTTGACTCCACAGAGACTGCCACGAGTGTTCGTAGCAATTTGCAGGTATTTAAACACTTGAACCAATCGATGCATGTTATATGCATTTGAAATCCTAATTATAGTTATGGTTTTACAAAAAGCATTTTTTTAATTATTGTTTTGATTTGGATATAGGGGACTGTTTTGGACAGTCATGCTCTTAATTTACAACCTTGTCATGTCAAGGATGGTGGTAAAACACTAAAGAAAGTTGAGAAAGACAAGAGTTCAACTAAGTTGCTTGTGAAAAATGTTGCTTTCGAGGCAACAGAGAAGGATCTGAGACAATTGTTTAGTCCGTTTGGCCAGGTGATTATTATTAAATGTCATAATTTGGTCCAGTTATCAGTAAATATTCATTCTTTCACACAAATCCGGATATTTAGTTGTTTGCTGTAAGTATTGAATTTTCCCCCTTTCTCTCATGTTTGATTGCTCAAAACCGTGCAGATTAAAAGCTTAAGATTGCCAATGAAGTTTGGAAATCATAGAGGCTTTGCTTTTGTGGAGTATGTTACTCAGCAGGAGGCGCAGAATGCTCTTACAGCACTCTCAAGCACTCACTTGTATGGGAGACATCTGGTAAGTGAAACTAGTTAAGGATTTGAGAAATTCTATTTAGGGAATCCCGTACACTGCCCCTTTTTTAGGCGGTGTTGATATATTCAAATTAGATTGCAAATAGTTGAGTAACAATGGTCGTTATTATTTTCAGGTGATAGAGAGAGCGAAAGAAGGCGAGAGTTTGGAGGAACTGCGTGCTCGAACTGCTGCTCAATTTAATGAACACAGTGGATTTCAAGATGCTTCATCCAAGAAAAGGAAGGCCTTTAGCATGCTAGATGAAGAAAATATGAAGTTTCAAAGGTTTGATTAGTGCTCTGCTCAAGAATTTTTAAGGTTTGTGCATATATCCCAAAGTTCAGGGATATCAATTTTGTAGGTCGTAACTTCTAGTATTGTTTAATTTGTTACTGCTGGGTGTCCTTAAATTTATTTCTATTTATTACCATGTCTAAATGATTCAGAGCAATATCATATGATCATAGTTATTTTGAGAACACCTTACTGTATGGTTAAAATCACAATTTTTAGGATTTAATTAATTTAATTTATAATAAAATGGGATTTTTGTTTATGAAGTTTCAAGACAACAGTTATTGCAAAGTTGCTACTGGTGATTTATCAATTCTCATAACATATTGAAAGTATTACTAGCTATACTTTAAAAGGAGAACCTAGGCATAATGAAAAATATATCTTTTATTTTAAAACCAATTAGCTAATATGAATACATAATTATTCAGTCCATATTAAACATAAATTTAGTAATAAATAAATCTAGCTATATTAATGGAAGTATTGTTTATAACCCCTGATAATGGCGGTGTATGTGAGAGTTAACAGTAGCACAAGCTAAATAACAATACTTTAGGAACCAACCACAAACAATAACTAAAACCTTAAACCTTAAATAACAATACTTTAGGAACCACAAACAATAACTAAAACCTGAAACCTTTCTTTTTTCGACATACTATAAGTTCGTGATAATAGTAACTGTACCACGCATCAGAATTAATGCAAGTTTGAGAATCAGATTGGGCCACCACAGGAGTAAGTGATTTGACAGTCTTCACCAATGGTGAGTGTGTAGATATGCAAAGGCCTAATCAGGAATGGTGGCAAACGAACAAGAAGTTCGCAAACACATTGGCTGTCCACTTCTCTAGCCCATCGGCAACAATTTTCTTCCTCTTGGGTCAGGTGATGCCTATGCTTGTGTCCATGTCTGTGACTGTGTCCATGTCCGTGCCTGTGCTCGTGTTCGTGGTGGTTGTTTCCGTATCCCTCGTCATTGGCACCATCATCGTCACCGCCATCATCATCAGGTGATGGAGGTGCAGGCGGAGGCCCAGGTGGTGCCCCCGGTCTGAATGGTAACCTTCCACATGCGTAGTTTACTAGTGCAAACTGAGAAGGACAAAGTGGGCGTGGATTTGTTAGTCCAGTAGGTCTTACTTGACACTCAATCTTTGGCACTATTGCCAAAAATGTTAGAGCCATTGCCAATATGTTGGAAATCTCAACTCTCTTCATTTTAAAATTCTCTACTCTAATACATCAGATATTAAGAGTTTAGGTGTTCATATAGGTACCCTTTGAAGTGCTATTTATATATATACAGTACTTGCACATTCATAGGGATATTATATTTCGGATATGTTGTTTTTCTTGTGAATTATAATTACAAAATGTAGTTTACCAAGAGCATGAGTTGAATTCACGCTTGTTCAAAAACCTCATTCATTTTGTGTGATGATACTTTAGGTGACATGAAAATTATTCTGAATGAGTGTCTACTGTCTACCCACCAACCTTGTTTTCTGGACAATTTTTTAATCAGTTAGTCTTGCATTGGTGGGAGGAGTGTAGTTTATTGCATGCATAACCTGTGAAGGAGAAACCCATTTTTCTAGTTTTCTCAGACAAAAAATTATATTATTATTATTATTATTTATGTTATATTTTGCACGGTTGTTATTATAAATGAATAATATTCATGTGTCACTATAGTTGTTTAAAAAAAAATCTTCACAATAGAAGGTTAAAAAATCGAGTTCTAAGATTATTGAATTTAAGAGTTGATATTTTATAAAAAGAAATAAAATGAAAAAAAAAAGAGAGAACGAATATGACATGGTTGTGTGAATTATTTTAGTACTAAATGTTACATAAAAGACAAATTTTGAAAATAAATAAATTGAAAGCACCACTAATCTGGACAAATGGCTAAACTATAAGGATTGCAGGCATAATTCTGTGTAATTTTATTAAGTGATATAAACCAGTTCAAATCAAATTTTAATTTAATTTCAACATGCTTTAAAAATTATGATTCCATATAACAATTATCTCACTGATCCTTTCAATTAGAAGCTAATTTAGTAGCAAAACTTGTTCAATAACCTAGAACCCAAGTAATTTACTTCATCTAACTATATATATACCACTTTGTTTCTTTCATCACTAAAACCTGCAAAAAATTCATTTTTTTTCTTCAATTGTTCAAATAAATATCTGTAAGTAGCAAGTAGCATAAATTAACAACTTGGTTTGCAAGTAGCAATTCTGATCCAAATTGAGTTAAATTTTGTGATATTGTATATCATATATCATCAATTTGGTAAATAATATATAAATGCAGGCACTTCATAATTGACTTACGGACATAATTCTTTTTAGTTCACCGAAATTAATCATAGTTAGCGTGTGATAATACAACAACAATTAAGCCTTATCTCATTAAATGAGATCGGTTATATGAATCAATTTTTGTCATAATGTTCTATCAAAGTCTATGATTCTATCCAAATCATTAATCTCAAATTGTTAACATCTCTTATAGTCTTTCTAGGTCTTCCTCTTTATCAAATAGTTTGTCTTCTTTCCATCTGATATACTCTCCTTATTATAGAATTTACAAGTTTTCTCTCTAATGTTCAAATTATCTAAGTTTATTTTTTCACCATCTTCTCTATTATAGGCGCTATCCTGACACTATAATATTTTCATTTCTAATTTTATCCAGTCGATTCTTACCACACATTCACTGTAACCTCTCCATCTTTGTTACACCGATTTTATTCTCGTGTTAATTCTTAATCGTCCAATATTCTATCCTGTGCAAAATCGCAGGTCTTATCGCAGTTTGATAAAATATTCTCTTCAACTTGAGCGGTACCTTTTCATCACATAAAATACCTGATGCCTTTCTCCATTTCAACCATCCAACTTGAATTCGATGGTTTACATTTCTTTCTATTTCTCTATCATTTTGTATTACATATCCTAGATATTTAAACTGTGTGATTTGAGGGATAATATGGTCTCCAACTTTCACCTCTAGGTTAGAAACACTTATTCTTTTGTTGAACTTATATTCCATATACTCCATATACTCCATCTTACTTCTGATTAGGCAAAAACCATGCGTTTCTAAAGCTTGTCTCCAAGTTTCTAACCTTTCATTTAAATCTTCTTTTGACTCTTCAAGAAGAATTATATCATCTGCAAAAAATATGCATATCATGATAATTCTTGTATGTGTTCCGTGAGTACATCTATAATTAAGATAAAAAGGTAGGTTTAGGGTTGAATTGTAATGGAAAAATTGGTTGTTCCTCCACTTTGTGTCTGAATACTAGTCGATACCTCTTCATACATATCTTGGATAGCTTGAATATATGCAATTCTAACCCCTTTCTTCTCTAGAGCTTTCCATTTGAAATTCTATCACACGCCTTCTCCAAGTCAATAAAAATTAAGTGCAAGTTTTGTTGGTCTATCCGATACTACTCTATTACACTCCATTATACACCGTAATAGATAAATCGCTTTCATGGTTGACCTTTTAGGCATACAATCAAATTGATTCTCGGTGACTTGAGTCTCTTTTCTTAATCTCTGTTCAATCACTCTTTTTCATAACTTCATGACATGAGTCAAGTTTAATCCCCATATAATTTGCACAATTTTGTATATCCCCATTGTTCTTATAGATTGGAACTAAAGTGATTCTTCTCCATTCACCCATATTAGCCTAAATGCCTCTCCATGTCAGCATGAACCCTAAAAATTTCCCGACCCGAACGACAAAAGATCATTTGCAGGATTCAGGCACATGTCTTGCTTCCCGACTGATTATAGGACATCCTTCAAGTATTTTTCACGACTTCACCCTTTAATAGTTTTCACTATTATGTCATCGATATATACCTCAAGATTTTGCCGTATCTGATGGGCGAACACAACGTCCATGAGTTGCTGTTAGGTGGCACCAATGTTCTTAAGGATGAAGGGCATGACATTGTAGTAGTAGTTTCCATGATTAGTCATGAAGGATGTTTTAGGAGCGTTCATGAGGTTAATCTAGATTTGGTTATACCCTGAGTATGCATCTATGAAGCTCAACACATGGTAGCCCGAGAATCCATCAATGGGGTGATTAATATATGGCAGAGGATATGGGTCCTTAGGTTAGGCGGCATTGAAATCAATGAAGTCTACACATATGCATTATCTGTTGTTATCTTTCCGTACTAGAACCACGCTAGCTAGTCAGGTGGGGTTCTTTGTTTTTTTCCCCTATGATAAACCCGACATTAGATAGTTTCCCCATCTCTTCATCAATGGTACTCCTTTTCTCCTCGCCAACTTTCGACTTTCTCTGTGCCACTGGTTTCGCAGTAGGGTGGATGGTAAAGCGATGACTAACCATTTTAGTATCTATCCCAAACATATAAGAGGGAGTCTAGGCGAACAATTTGACGTTCTTAATGAGTCCAGGCGAACAATTTGACGTTCTTAATGAGTTGCTCGACCGCTCACATTCTTCCTCTTTAAAGAGTGAAATACTTATCTTTGTGACCTCATGGGAGAAAGGGCCTATTTGGACTTTCTTCACGTCCTTTGTGAGCGTGAGCCTTTCTACTTTTGTGCCCAATCTTAGATCCCAACACTCGAGGTTGAAATTTGGAACTTTGGGAAGGCGGGTACCCACAAGGGCAAGTTGTTCCCTCTTTATCGCCAAACTATTTTGGTAACACTCTCGCGTGATACATTGGTATCCTTGAACCATACAAACTCGTCCTTTAGGTTGCAAATACTTCAAAATAAGGTATAAGGTGGAAATGACTGCACCTAACGCGTTAATGATGGGTCATCCCAAGATGATGTTATAAGGTGACATGGTGTCCATGATAAGGCAGCTGACATCAATTGTTGTAGCTTTTAAACTCTCACCACACACAATCTCTAAGGTTATACAACCCCTTACTTGTACATGTTCGCCTAATAATCCCATCAATAAGTTACTGAACATTATGGCATGGTTAATATTGAGTTGCAGTTTTTGGAAGACATCCTAGAATAGGAAATTAGTAGAGCTACCTAGGTCTATTAAGACTCGCTTGATATCCTAGTTGTCATGTTGCATTGTAACGACAAGAGGGTCATTATTGTGAGGATTTACTCAGAAGGTGTTATCCTCGGAAAAGGTGATGTTAACCCCTATTTTCGCTTGTGCACCCTTGGGAAAACCCAGTGACATCACATTAGCTACGGGTATCTGGTTTGTGTATTTATTTTTAGAGGAGCTAGAGCTACCTCCGCCAGCGAAACCTCTGAATATGGTGCTTGTGTTGGGGCATAAAGTTGTGTCCGTCGTATTTCGAGGGACGATGAAGGAGTTACGATGAAAGAGGTGTGACCCAAGTTAGTTTTACCGGGGCTCCATGGTGGGCGCTACTGTACTGGTCAAAAAGTATAGGTTTGTGTGTTCTCCCTGCAAGAGCGGGAGACTTAGAAGCCCTAGTAAGTGTATGACAAATGATGATGTTTAAGGCTTACCAACAGAGACGAGAAGCCTTGTACAATGGTGTTTTATGGTGGTTTAAGAGACATGCTCGCTGAGGTCAGACGCTTTGTATGTAGTATGATGCTTTGAGGTAACACTACATATGATCTGTAACAATTAATAGTTGTCCTTTCTCCATATGGGGGATATGTATTTATAGAGGCTTTAGGCCTAGGGTTTCCTTGGAAACGGTCATCTCCCAACCAATCAATGTTGGACCCTTGAATCTCAATTTTTTAGGGATACGTAGGTCATTGTTGACCATGAATTCTCTCCGGCTCTGCCTAAGGAACATCTTATCCCACGTTTCCTATGATTGGGTGAGAGGAAAGTGTTGGGGGAAAGGCAATACCTCTTATAATATGACATATGATTGTTGCCCTTCCTATGGGTGACACAACTCCTGCCCTTGTCAGTTCTTTTACAAATATAACACTACAATATGATACATACACAGTAAAACATATGATATAAGAAACACCTTTTCAACTGAATTCATCAGTGCTATATCACGATTAATGACAATCACATGTGGCATCTTTTCTTGGCTTTTCAACATAGTTTGATATACTTCCATTGTAACACCCCAAACTATTAGACAAATAATAAACAAAAATCAGAGTAATTTTCAAGTAAATTAGGATGCCACATTTTCAAAATCATGCAAAAATATGCTCATATT